CTGCTCTAACCCAACTGGTTGTCTCCTTGTTCTTTTATCCCATGTTGGAAAGAATTATAAGAAACAAGGGATCACTGCATCAGTCCTCCTGGATTACTTTGAACTCAGCCCAGTTCAATACAAACTACCAGGCCAACAAGATGGTAAATTGTTTCTTTTGGAAACCATCTTTGTATTTTGTTTTCCTGTTACAGACATATGTTGCTAAGAGATCTTTGGCTTAGCAAGACCCACTATATTTTTGCTAGAACATCCTGGCTTTGTCTCCCTGACTACTGCAATCAAAACCTCCCAGCCATCCTAAGAGGCTCATTAACATCACCACATAAGGAAACTACTCCACCTTTACACAGTTTTGCAAACTCCACAGGGGTCCATGTTTTGCTTTTTTTTTTTTTGAGGCTGGTAGAATCTTTTTTATTTAAAAGCTGAGCCTTCTAATACAGTGATTTCCTGAAGTTTCAAATAACTTGCAAAGTATGAAACCTGAATTCCTTTGTAAGGTCTTCTGTGATACCTTTAACTTTCAGTCATAGCATTTAAATGAAGGCAGCTATGATTTTAAAATATAGTACATAACGATAGGTACACAGAAATATTATGGATTTTTTCATAAGTACTTTTGCATGATACTAGCAGGGAGAGAAAAAAAAGCATCTTGTGGCAGGTTAAGTGCCAAGTTCAGGTTCAGGCTCTCTAAGCTTTAGGCAAAAAGCTTGCCTCTTTGCTGGTCAGACCATACACAGGGCAGTTCTGTTAACGTTTAGAAGCCTATGAATACGAATGTGTCCAAAGAAAATCAATGACAATCAGAACATCAGAAACAATACCACATAAGCAATGTTTAGGTGAACCACATCAAACCTGGAGAGGGCTTCACCTGAGGAAGTTAAGGCATGTAAAATGGGGATTAGATCTTATCCTTGTTTCTACACATTTTAGGCAAAATGTGTAAAATTCACAAGGCAAAGATCAAAACAAAGAAAAACAAATCCACCTAATAATACACTATGGAATGGGTATGTCCTGAAACGGAATGTCAACGAAGCATTTAAGTGGAAGTTAGATAAACCATATGTTAGGTGTGTTCTAAGGGTTCGTGAGCTGAAACTTTTTTTTTTTTTTTTGCGGTACGCGGGCCTCTCACTGTTGTGGCCTCTCCCGTTGCAGAGCACAGGCTCCAGACGCAAGGCTCAGAGGCCATGGCTCACGGACCCAGCCGCTCTGCGGCATGTGGGATCTTCCCAGACTGGGGCACAAACCCGTGTCCCCTGCATCAGCAGGAGGACTCTCAACCACTGCGCCACCAGGGAAGCCCTGAGCTGAAACTTTTAAGCCCATTTATTGTAAGATGTTATGATTCCATGGCAGTTTCAAGTCTTTTGGTAATGATGTGCAATGACCTGGGGATTTTTTTTTCAGTGGAATAATGCTATGATTTCCAAATCCCTTTCAGCCAAAATTGTTTGTTTCAGCCAAAATTGTTTGATCCAAGTAACCTACAAAGTGCCTTGAGCTCCATGATGAAAGATGCTATATAAATAAAAAGGGTAATTTAGTCATAATAAATAATGGTAATGATGATGGATGGTGGTGTCACAGAGAAGCTGGCCTGCCATTAGGGAGCCCAAAGCAACCAGCATTGAACTGGAAATAATGTGTGCCCAGGCCAGGAGGATATTAAGTGACTGAGACCATGTTAACCTTTCAACCAAAGACCTGGATCAAGCCTCTGATTCAGAGGTGTGAGCATCTGAAATGGAAAAAACTACAGTATTTATTCCAAAGCTTGAATGTTACTTTGGACTTATAAGACCTCTACCAACATAGGTCAACAGGGAGCTTCCTCTTCCAACAGAGGAGAAAATTGAGTAGGTCAGGGGAAGAGCCAGAATTCCAAACTAGAGTTATGACTCTGAACCCCATGCTCTTTCCATCCTCTACAAGACCCCAGACAATTCAATGGAACATGTAACTTCAGAAAAGAGCCAACTTGGATGAGAAAATGTTGAAATGAGGTCATGTCTCTCAAGATGGCTTGCAGAGCTGTTTTCCATCCATTTAGGCTCAGTAAGCCTGCTAGTAAAACTCTTAGCCCCTCAAGCATGGAGGAACCATGCACTGAAGCCGTGGAGCTGATCTCCAGAGTTAAAGGAACACGTGGTAGGAGCCAGCTGAGTTCTGTTGGACCAGGAAAGGACACTGCTTTAGGGCTTTGTCCAGCTTGAGATCTAGGAAGCCTGATTGCTGCCAGAGGCCTGATTGATGCCACCTGCTGAAGGACTTGGCCTCCCAAGCCTCACATGTGCTTGAAGACCAACCAGTCACCATATGCAAAGAGGAAGGACCCTCCTCTCTGCCCACCAAAAACTACCATCAAAAAAAAAAAAAAAAAAAAGAAATCTGGAAACTACAAAACTAGGAATCTTGTTAGAACACATGGATGTTTTCCTTACCTACTTATCTTTCCTTTTTTTGGTGGTGGTATATATTGAAATTTTCGTTTTACAGCCTTTAGCTTTAACTTGCTTGCATTTTGGCATAATTTAACATACTTTATCATTTGGAATCTATTCTCATCCTCTTTTTCTAGTTTAACATCTTTAAATTTTTAACTTAACAATATTCTTTTTGTGATTTTCCTTTGAAACTAGTCTATTCTCAGCCTTTTAACATTTATTTTGGGTTTTTATTTCCTGAAAGAAATTATTATTTTATATTTCTTAAACATTTTCTTATTAATTTTAAGTCATTGTAATTTTATCTCTGAAATTTTTTTTAAATTTCTTTATAATTCTCATTTTACCTCTTGTTTCACCTTTTCAATACTGCTCTATTTTCCCAGTTTCTAAACATATGCTTTTGCCTCTTTAAAACTGATATTTGAAATTATAACTTCTTCTGCATTTTTATTTTTTGAAATTATTTTTCCTTTCAAATTTTCTGTTTACCTTGTATTCTGTTTATTTCCATAGGATACCAATGTCTAATCCTATAGTAAAAAAGAATCATTTGTTACCATAGGAAGGGGCTTTAAGTCTTTTTCCACAGTTTGAGGCAGGTATGTATGAATGTTAATCCTGTCACCCCCACCCACTGACTGAGTGATCTTGGGAACCTGCTCTTCTATCTGGGCCTCAGCTCACAACTCTGCAAATGCTGACCCCTTATGACACTGGAATTCACCTTTCCTATTATACATTCTGAAAGGCATGGAGGAGCTAGGCCAGGAGAAGCATCACCCCAATCTTCCCTCTTGCAGCCAACCATTTTTCAGTCATTTCACTTTTAGCCATTCCACAGCCATTTTTCAACCATTTCAGCCATTCCATTTAGATAAAGTGACACCTTTAATACAGCTGTATCCAGAATCCAGTAAAATACAACTGAGAATAAAGATTTATCTGCAGGAAATAGAAGCAAATCAAAGCATTGGTCTTTTTTTGTTTGTTCGTTTTGTTTTCTTTTATTATTTCTTTTAATCTTTTTTTTTACACAGCAGGTTCTTATCAGTTACCTATTTTATACATATTAGTGTATATTTGTCAATCCCAACCTCCCAATCCATCCCACCACCCTCCCCCACTGCTTTCCCCCATTGGTGTCCATACATTTGTTCTCTACATCTGTGTCTCTATTTCTGCCTTGCAAACCAGTACATCTGTACCATTTTTCTAGATTCCACATGTATGCATTAATATACAATACTTGTTTTTCTCTTTCTGACTTACTTCACTCTGTATGACAGTCTCTAGGTCCATCCACATCTCTACAAATGACCCAGTTTCATTCCTTTTTATGGCTGAGCAATATTCCATTGTATATCTGTACCACATTTCTTTACCCATTCGTCTGTCGATGGGCATTTAGGTTGCTTCCATGACCTGGCTATTGTAAATAGTGCTGCATTGAACACTGAGGTTCATGTGTCTTTTTGAATTATGGTTTTCTCTGGGTATATGCCCAGTAGTGGGATTGTTGGGTCATATGGTAATTCTATTTTTAGTTTTTTAAGGAACCTCCATACTGTTTTCCATAGTGGCTGTATCAATTTACATTCCCACCAACAGTGCAAGAGGGTTTCCTTTTCTCCACATCCTCTCCAGCATTTGCTGTTTGTAGATTTTCTGATCATGCCCATTCTAACCAGTGTGAAGTGATACCTCATTGTAGTTTTGATTTGCATTTCTCTAATAATTAGTAATGTTGGGCAGCTTTTCAAGTGCTTCTTGGCCATCTGTATGTCTTCTTTGGTGAAATGTCTATTTAGGTCTTCTGCCCATTTTTGTATTGGGTTGTTTGTTTTTTTGATACTGAGCTGCATGAGCTGCTTGTAAATTTTGGAGATTAATCCTTTGCCAGTTGCTTCATTTGCAAATATTTTCTCCCATTTTGAGGGTTGTCTTTTCATCTTATGTTTTCTTTTTCTGTGCAAAAGCTTTTAAGTTTCATTAGATCCCATTTGTTTATTTTTGTTTTTATTTCCATTACTCTAGGAGGTGAGTCAAAAAAGATCTTGCTGTGATTTATGTCAAAGAGTGTTCTTCCTATGTTTTCCCCTAAGAGTTTTATAGCGTCTGGTCTTACATTTAGGTCTTTAATCCATTTTGAGTTTATTTTTGTGAAGCATTGGTCTTCACTTCAAGGAAATCACAATTTGAGCCCTGACTTTGTCACTAACCAACTAACTGGGGGAGTCATTTGATTATTGTGGATACCAATTCCCTCCTTTTTAAAAGGAGTGTTGGATGAGATTATTTCTAAGGATTCCTCTGTTATTAATTGCCAATGAGTCTATACCTTTCTATTCAAAGGAACTATGAGATTGACATTAATGTATATAGAGATTACCCTGTTATTTGTACCAGGTAACAGAACCCAAGAGAAGTTATTCCTGCCGGAGTACCAAGACCTCTCCAGTCAAGCCCACTGAAGAAAACAACAACATGTTACCATGGTAACATAAATGCGGACTAGGTTGAGCCCGGTGCGTGACATACTTGCCATTGATGACACCATCTGGGTTGAGCATGGGGATGATCTTGAAAATGAAGTTTTCCCTCAAGAGCCTAGCCACAGGGTCACTGCTGACCAGGAACTCCAAGGTCCCCTTCATCACCCAGCTGGCATTGCTCTCTCCTGGGTGAACTCGAGCAGTAATCACCTGGTATGGGCGCTGCCCTGCAGAAAAAGAGACACAAGAAAATTAATCTAAGTACACTTTCCATTTCCACCCAGATAATCTCCAGGAAGCCAGTATTACACGTGACTGGCATGAAGCCTGAAACAGAATGACTGCTTCTAATACACATCTAATGTACATGAATCCATTTTCCATCTGCCTCTATGGTCTGCAAGACTCAAGAGAGTATAAAGTTAAAGCTCAAGGCTGTTATCCAAAGCATAAGTACTTAGTGGCATCAAAACCAACCAAGAATCAGATTTTAGCAAGACCACCAAAGAAATAATTTACTCTTCAGAGTCCAACAGCATGATGCTGAGTGTCCCAGATCTGAGATTGAATCTTAGCTTCATCATTTACCAGTTGTAAGACCTCAGCCAAATGACTTAATTTCTCCAAGGCTGCTTTCTCATCTGTAAAATGAGGACAATAATACTGACATCCTGCAGCTGTTATAAAAACTAAAGGATGTGATTATAAAGAACTTGGCATATTGCTTGCTGTTCAGTGTGTACCTGTTAGCTCTCTCCCTTCTCAATTATGAGGTCTGTGGTTAGGATGGTGCCTCACATTCCCCAGTAGAAATAGGAGTCAAGTACAGAAACTGAGTTGGGAAATTTATGACTGATTTTATGACACTGAAGCCAATCCTGGAGAGATTTCACAAAAGAGGGAAGTACCTGGAAGCTCAATCTTGGAGTTGCAATACTTCCTTCACTTTGCAGAAGAAATCAGGAACACACTCTCTGCCAATCACAGTGAGTGTATTGACCTGAATAGATCTTATGAAGAATGCACTGATGAAAGAGAGACTTATCCCTTCTTTGCTGACAGAAGACACATGGAGTATCGTAGTGTTGAAACGTATTCTTAGACCACATCTGGGCTCAGGTGGTAAATGTCTTTTGATTGATTGGTGATGTCTGTCCCCAGACACTTGAGGAAGAAGTGGGGAACATGTGGTATCATACAAGCAATTCACCATGTCTGCTCTAACCCCTTGTTTAATTTTGTGTGGGTTTTTTGACTCTTCCTTCTGTATCCTCACCCAATTCCTTATTGCTCCTAAACCCATTCTAATGATGAGAACTAAATATTTGCCAAGTATAAATACCTTGGCCACTAAACAGCCTAAAAGTTAAACCAGTCATTTTCTGCCTGATCATTCAAATCATGAGTTAAATATGGCTTTTCTTCCCTTAAGCAGTAATCTCTTTGAGGGAATAAACTGTGTCTCTAATTCTGTACAAAGAAAGACAAAACTGAATAACTCTCAATTACAGCTAAACAAGAAGTAATGGAAGATACAGAGAAATAAACTATTAATTCCCTAATTATATTACTATTATCATCAATTAAAACAAACAAAAAACCCTCTGTCAACAGCCAATGAGATGCAGGTTTAAGGGGCATATATTGGTCCATTTTTACTGACTATGGTGAGAGCACGTTACTTCCCTTTGTAGATCCTTCATATATTGTGGATAATATTCAGTTACATTTTTGCTTAAGCAGGTATTTTGAACATATTCCAGAAACTGCAGGAGGCACTAGGTAGAAAAAGTTGAATATATTATAGTACTTGTTCTGTAAGAGGCCAAAGCATTTGTCGGTAGTGACAAACATGCAAGCAAATAATGACAAGTAAGCTAGTGGAGGTGTATATAAAGCACCAAAAATAGATGTGAGTCAGAGAGGGAAGGACATTTCCAGCGATGTGATGTTATTTAGACTGGGTCCTGCAGGATAAGTATCAGCTAACTAGAGAAAGAAGGTGAGAAGGGGTCTTCTAAGCAAAGGAAAAGATAAATGGCAAAGAACACAGAGGAGAAAAACTGGTGCATATTCAAGAATAAAGAAAAGGAATAAAGAAAAGCTGTGAATGGCTGAAACAAAGGATGAGAGATAGTAGCTTGTGAATTTAGAAAAGAAGTTTGGTGTCAAACTGTTAAGATTCTTCCTCATATATTTTGTTTAGGGATTTGGACTTTATTCTACAGATCGGAAGTACTCAACCATGGAGTCAGTGTGTCCCTGATATGCTATGATCTGTGATGAGATCAACTGAAGAATCATTGGTTAGTAATAAAAGTGTAAATGCTTGTTTTATATATATATATATATATATATATATATATATATATACATACACACACATATACACTACACTATATATGTATACACATACTTTATAAATACACATACATAGACATATATACATGTATATATACACACACACATACACATATCACACAAAATGCTGGCTACCACCCAACAGCTTTTCTCCCCTTCTTTCCTACTACCAGACCCCTGATTCTGGGGGGTTTAAAAAGTGCCCAGATCAAAACACCCAGCTTCGTGGATCCTCTTGATAGGTAGGAGTGACCATGTGACAGGGTTGAGACCAATGAGATGTAAATGGCAGCCTGGGGTCGATCTTTCTGGAAAACTGATTAAAGGGCACTATTTCACCTGGCAAATGCCTTCTTGGTTTTTGTCCCTTATCCCTCATCTTTGTCTCTTGTTCCTTCCGTGAACATAGATCTGATACTTTCAGGTGAAGAAGCCAACTTGAGAATCAAAGTCACATGATAAGATGTTACCATAAAGATAGAAAGAGCCTAGGTTCTTGAAAAATCCCTTAAGCAGCTACCCTGCACCTTCACTAGCTTCTTCAATGCTTCTGGATGTTTGAGAGCAATAAACCACTATTTGATGGGCAAATGTAATCATGTTTCTGTTATATCTTGTTAGACTCTAGTTTAACTTATATAAGAGCAGATTTAAAATCATCCTTAAAATAAGATTACTTTGGAGGTTTCCGGGAAGATGGCATAAGAGTAAAGCACGGAGATCACCTTCCTCCCCACAGATACACCAGAAATACATCTACACGTAGAACAACTCCTACAGAACACCTACTGAACGCTGGCAGAAGACCTCAGACCTCCCAAAAGGCAAGAAACCCCCCACGTACCTGGGTAGGGAAAAAGAAAAAAGAATAAACAGAGACAATAGAATAGAGACGGGACCCACACCAGAGGGAGGGAGCTGTGAAGGAGGAAAGGTCTCCACACACTAGAAGCCCCTTCGCAGGCGGAGACTGCGGGAGGCGGAGCGGGGAGATTCCCGCACAGAGGATCGGCGCCGACCGGCGCTCACCAGCCTGAGAGGCTTGTCTGCGCACCCACTGGGGCGGGCGGGGCTGTGAGCCGATGCTCGGGCTTCCATCGGAGCGCAGGGAGAGGACTGGGTTTGGCAGCATGAACCCAGTGTGCAAGGGGTTAGTGGACCACGGCTAGCCGGAAGGGAGTCCGGGGAAAAGTCTGGACCTGCCGAAGAGGCAAGAGACTTTTCCTTCCCTCTTTGTTTCCTGGTGCGCAAGGAGAGGGGATTAAGAGCGCTGCTTAAAGGAGCTCCAGAGACGGGTGCGAGCCGCGGCTAAAAGCGTGGACCCCAGAGACGGGCAAGAGACGCTAAGGCTGCTGCTGCCGCCACCAAAAAGCCTGTGTGCGAGCACAGGTCACTATCCACACCCCCCTTCCGGGGAGCCTGTCCAGCCCTCTACTGCCAGTGTCTCAAGATCCAGGGACAACTTCCCCAGGAGAACGCAGGGCGTGCCTCAGGCTGGTGCAACGTCACGCCAGCCTCTGTCACAACAGGGTCGCCCCGCACTCCGTGCCCTTCCCTCCCCTGGGCCTGAGTGAGCCAGAGCCCCCGAATCAGGGGCTCCTTTAACCCCGTCCTGTCTGAGCGAAGAAGAGATGCCCTCCAGCAACCTACACACAGAGGCAGGGCCAAATCCAAAGCTGAGCCCCTGGGAGCTGTGAGAACAAAAAAGAGAATGAGAAATCTCCCCCAGCAGCCTCAAAAGCAGAGGATTAAAGCTCCACAATCAACTTGATGTACCCTGCATCTGTGGAATACATGAACAGACAACGCAATCATCCCAAACTGAGGAGGTGGACTTTGAGAGCAAGATTTATGCTGCATAGCTTTGCTTCCACCATTTGTCCTAGGGTTCTATCCATCCGTTTTTTTTGTTTTGTTTTATTTTTAATTTTTTCTTTTTTTCTTAATAATTATATTTTTATTTTAATAACTTTATCGTATTTTATCTTACTTTATTTTACTTTAACTTCTTTCTTTGTTTTCTTCCTTCCTTCCTTCCTTCCTCCCTCCCTCCTGCCCTGCATCCCTTCTTTCTTTCTTTTTCTTTCTATTTCTATTAATTCTTTCTTTCTACTTTTTCTCCCTTTTATTCTGAGCTGTGTAGATGAAAGGCTCTTGGTGCTGCAGCCAGGAGTCAGTGCTGTGCCACTGAGGTGGGAGAGCCAACTTCAGGACACTGGTCCACAAGAGACCTCCCAGCTCCACATAAAATCAAATGGCGAATATCTCCCAGAGATCTCCATCTCAACACCAGCATCCAGCTTCACTCAACGACCAGCAAGCTACAGTGCTGGACAACCTATGCCAAACAACTAGCAAGACAGGAACACAACCCCACCCATTAGCAGAGAGGCTGCCTAAAATCATAATAAGTCCATAGACACCCCGAAACACACCACCAGACGTGGACCTGCCCACCAGAAAGACAAGATCCAGCCTCATCCACCAGAACACAGGCACTAGTCCCCTCCACCAGGAAGCCTACACAACCACTGAAATCAACCTTAGCCACTGGGGACAGACACCAAAAACAACGGGAGCTACGAACCTGCAGCCTGCAAAAAGGAGACCCCAAACACAGTAAGATAAGCAAAATGAGAAGACAGAAAAACACACAGCAGATGAAGGAGCAAGATAAAAACCCACCAGACCTAAAAATGAAGAGAAAATAGGCAGTCTACCTGAAAAAGAATTCAGAATAATGATAGTAAACATGATCCAAAATCTTGGAAATAGAATAGACAAAATGCAAGAAACATTTAACAAGGACCTAGAAGAAATAAAGATGAAACAAACAACGATGAACAACACAATAAATGAAATTAAA